ATAAAAAAAACAAAAAAAAAAAAAGAAAAAGAAAAAAAAAATCTAGTTTTCTTTAGCTCAGAAACTGATATTTTTACGTCAGCCATATGTATTTTGTTTAAAGAAAATAAAGAAATATCGAGTCCCGCCGCTGCCTGAGGGCAGCTGTGAGGGACACTTTAATTAATTCCGTGGATTAATTAATTCAGCCATCGGATGCCAGTCAGCTTCCTTTTCTCTGAGCAGCCATCTTTCTACTAGCCGTGAGTTGGGTGACACAAATGGGGTTTTTTTTTAATATAAATATCTATAAATTATGTTGGTGTATGGCTGGTTGGCTTCAAGTATAAATGTTTCTCGTGCAGATTTCCTGTAAAGTTTTGGGGTTTTTTTGGGGGTTCAGTTTCAGTGATATCCTGGCAGCAGCTGACTCTTGGCTTAAGTTATTGAGGACATTACACACAAAAAATAATAAAAAAAAAAATATTTGGGGGAGATTGGTGCTCCAAAAAAAAAAACAAAAAAAAATTTAAAAAGGCATGGTCGGCGGCACGGACTTTTGGGGACTTTCTGCAACATGCCTTGACTAGGGGGAGATATAAATATCCATATAAATATATATTATTATGAATAATTTCTGGTTTTTTATTTTTGTTTTTTGCTTTGTTTGAACTGCCACGAGCGCGTGCAAAGCCGCCCCCTCGCTCCTCCTTGTGATCAACTTGCCTTGATCAATAACGCTTTGTTATTAAAACACTCTCAACGTCCTTCTGCATCCAGTTCTTGCTCCCAGCAGGGCGGATTTCCCCATTTTCCCCTGGATTTTCCCTGGATTTTCCGTGGATTTTCCGTGGAATTGGCGGATCGCTACCAAAGACGTCGCGGGCTGGCCAAGCGGCTCTCGAGGCGTTCTCCTGCTGAGGTTTTTACCATCAACGGGGTGGGGAGGGAGGTTTTAATTTCTTTTTTTTTATTATTATTTTTTTTTTTCTTTTTCCCCAGAAGGTTTTCCGTGCAATAAAGCGAAATTTCCCCAACCGATCTCGCAAAGGAAATAAACCAAACGGCGATTTTAGCACGGGCGGCGTTTCCTCCCCTCACGTCCCAGGTCATCCACCTCCTGTTTTCCACCCAAAAGGGATTTTTGGTGTTTTCCCCCCATCCAAAATGCCTCCAGCATCCCCAAATCATCCCTCGGGATCTGGGGAATCCTTTTATTGTTAATTTTCCACCCAAACGGGGATTTTGGCCTTTTCCCTTCACCCAAAACCCTCACCCCCAAATCATCCCTTGGGATGTGGGGAGTCCTTTTATTGTTAATTTTCCACCCAAAAGGGATTTTGGTGTTTTTCCCCCATCCAAAATGCCTCCAGCATCCCCAAATCATCCCCTCGGGATGTGGGGAGTCCTTTTCCTGTTAATTTTCCACCCAAACGGGGATTTTGTCGCTTTCCCCCCTCACTCCAACTCTGCTCTCCCCAAATTCCCCAATTTTCCTCCAGCAAAGCCCATGGCTAAAACTGCCTTTAGTTTATTTCCTCCCCTTCAATAAATATATATATATATACAGTCTGAACTCAACATTTATGTGTGTGTATATATATTTTTCCAACGCTCTCACACAACAACAAAAAAAAATTTATTTTAAAGAGGGCACGTGGAGCTGAGTTTTTTTATTTTTATTTTTTTTTTCCCAGTAACTCAGTATAATAAGCACTGGTATTTTTGTATAAAAAAAAACAGGCGAGAGGAAAAAAAAAGAGGAAAAAAAACCCAAAATACAAAACAAAAGACTGAATATTATGTGGTATGCATGACATTAAAAACAAAACAATGGTGGTTTCAAAGCAATATGTACCCTGGTGTGTTTGCCATATCCTAGAGTCCAGCTTAAAGTGCACCTGATCTGTATTAAAAAAAAAAATTAATCTCTATGTACGATGTTTTGCATGTAATTTATATGGATCTTGGGAGAAAAAAAAAA